CATCGAGGGAAACCTCAAGCGAAGGGACCATCTGGCGAGCGAGAAGGATGTCTTTCCTAGCATTCGAAAGGCTCAAATTGAATCCACGAAACTGAAAAGACTTTCGCATATGTGCTCAAGCAGAGTCCCTGTTATACTCCATCCCTCCTTATATTGGCATTGATAAGCAGGTCTGATTACGACAAACATTAAAACCGAAAGACTTGGACAATCTGTCTTGACCTCCGCAGATTTCCTCCTAGTAAGTGTTTAAGAGACTCAGCCTTAAATCATCTCTATCAAACTAGCCAGCTTGAATGCGAGGGGCCTGAGAACTAATGCTGCTCGCCTGCTTCGTGTCGCTTGCCCTTTAATGTAGACGTGGCTGCCATCCAGAAAACACAATTTGTTTGCGGTGTTGATGCTCGTGGGCTGTCTAGTAATTTTGTTGTCAATCCAGCATACGGAAGCCAGTGGGCCAGAGGTTTTACATTGTGAGCTAAACGTTCCCTGGTTGCAAGGGCAGATCTTGTTCATCTCGACGTGGGGCGGGTTGTCTAGTTGATCGTAGATGATATTGCAATGAGCAGTAGTTAGTCGATAGATACCAGCACATGGGGTAGATCTAGATTTGCTAGATTGTCCAACAACGATAGACACATCTGTGCCCGTAAACTGTTAGGTACTATACCTGGAATAGCTGGACACTGGAAGCTCAATTTATCTTTACTGGACAGGCAGGACTTCCGGCAACAGATAACTTGATTAGTGCAGCGGGAACTAGTGGGGACGGTTATTAGGAATAACTACAGGGAGATGCTTAAGGATAGGATTTGGTCTTTCACGACCAAATATAGCCAACGACTTGCTCTAGATAAGGTTAGTAGGTGAAAACTGTAGATGATAGTCCGTCCTTGCGTAGATTGGAGGAGGGTATTCGCTAGAAATAAAATTATCTAGACAGGCTCTGGAGCGTGAGGCTAACAAGCGCAACCAGGGCACGTAATTAGACATAACAAGAAGTTTAATGAAGCTGTGAACTTAGGCAGAAGGAAGAGATCCATCGATGTTCCGATCGGTACATTCGCGAGGTCAATACTTCGGAGGGGCATATTATGAGGTCGATCTATATGTGAGGTGTTTCAACGGCATTTCGACAGCGTTTTTATAAAGCATACTGATCACTGTTTCGATTAGTTTCGCAGCTATTTAACCGACTTTCTTCGGTTTGAGCCGACTGAAGCAGCTAGATGTGAAGGGAAGATCACGGAGGGTGAAGTTCACTTGGCATTGAAGAGGGCCGGTTGCTGTTAGTCTCCTAAAATTGATGGTATTCCTTACGAATTGTACGTGAGGCTATCGCACATTTTTTTCCGATTTTGACTGTCGTATTCAACAAGTGGTTTCGTCCCAAATACGATGTCCCCGTGTGTGATCCCTCCGTTGAAAACGACCAAAAATGGTGCGCAGGAATTAAAAGAGTACAGACCCATAACTCTGCTAAACACAACTATAGATTTTAATCAAAATACTGACGGAGCGTTTGCATTCAGTTGTTGCCAGCTTGTTCGGACCTGAGAAGATTTAAGCTGTGAAGAGACGGGATTGTTAAGGACGCTTCCCCTAATTTTACAATCATTCTCACCGTTTCAGAGGCTGAGCGCCAAGTTAAGCCTACGAAACAATCGAGATGTACGTGAGAGTTTCGGTCGGCCTTGGTAAACATTACCAGGTTCATTGACCTTTCAAGGCCTCGTAAGCTATTGTATCATGATTCAGTGGAGGGTGTCGCGAAGGATTGTCTTCGTAGCAGGGTCGGGTTTTCGGCATTAGAGTTGAGCTCATTCTTGTCTTGAGCACCAGCTGCGACTTACACCAGCAACTCTGAGTTTTCACTTACTTGGCGATTGATTCGGAACGTGCTACCTCTCCATGACATAGCCTTACGATGGTGCGGAGCGAATTTTCCAGGCTGTCATTGGTGGGACCTCAGCTTAGAGTAAACGTCTTCTCCCATTGTTCTCAGCTATGCATTTTCTGGTACTATGTCGGCGAGTTCATGGCTCGTATCGCTCCCGATCGGCTTGTATCCATCTATTTCGCATACGCGTGTGACAATATATCGCCCCCGTTCTCCGAGGTAGAATGAATGGTGTTTCTCACATTGCTAGCCGTGGCAAGAATGGTGGTCTGGGCGTCAAGAATGGAGAGAATATGAGTGCTATTCTTATCAGGATGTCGTTAGATTTTTTGACTATCAGCTGAGGATAAAGATCAGATTTGATAGAAAGCGTTTCATATCGACAGATTTCAACGAAAGCTGGGTGACACCGTCGAGCCTGGTTCGTGTGATTTTCGTCTGAACATTCCAGAATTAGCATTGGATTAACTTGACAGAAGTGTTAGAAGAAAGGAAAATAGACATTTTAGAATCATTGAAAAAAGAATGGAATCAATTATCAAACTTATATTTTAGAAAATATTGCAAAGAATGCCAAACATTTCTGGTTCAGTAATCAATTCAAATCATATTCATCGCTTTCCTACAGAGCTTAAGTGCGCAGTAATTTAGACGAGTATGATCAGTTAAGAGCAGTAACAAGGCCCTAATTAAGCTTCCGCGGGCAACATTTTTCGCAGTGAATGTAGTTAAACTAGGCCAGTAATGACCGAAGGCTGAATGCGACTGACTTCGAATTTTTTTGTCGATATCTCCAAAACGGTAGGTTTTTCAAAATTTAATTGTTATTTCGAGTTCAGCATGTACGGTAAATATGACGATTTGGCAAAATTTTAATAGATATTTAGCGCAGGGCTTAAAAAGCAAATTTACAGAAGGATATTTTAAGATGATAGCAAAATTTAACCATAAAATATTTTTTTCTCTTTGTCATTATAAAATTTCTAATATTAAATGATGCTTCACTCTCTTTTACCGATGTATAATATTTTTTCTAAGTTCAAGAAAAAAAAAACAACCACTTTTTGGGCTAATGTGGAAAATACCTTGGTTTCTTTAAACCTTTGAACGGAAGTGTATATATATATATATATATATATATATATATATATATATATATATATATATACAACACAAAAAAATAAAATTCGATCGAGGACGTTAGAAGAAAAAAAAACGCGAATTTGTAAGCTGATACAAAAGCTCTTCTATGAATGTGAGCACCTATTCTAAAATAAATACGTAAAAATTCACCTTCCACTCAGCGGGGAGCTGATAGCTCAGGGGAAAAATCTCCGACTAATGCCAAATTTTTTTCGATCCTTGCTTGAGGAAATCGAATGTCTAGCCACAGATAAACATTTTAAACACCTTTAAAACCAATGTGGTCGTTAAAGCTCTACTTATGATCGGTAGACATTAGTCACAGTTCATCTGTGTCAAAACAAAGCCACATCGAGTTTGGAATTCAGAGTTGTCATTCGCATATACCCGTTAAAAAACGATGTTCGAAATTCTAATCGAGCATGCTATTTAACGCATACCCATGAGTAAGAAGAGATTGATTCATAACTTCCCAAATGGATATTTGTGCGAAAGTGTATGTAAAATCTCGATCAAAATTCGAAACCGGTTCGCCGATTTCACCTTTCTATCCTCTAAGCATTACACCACCACTACATCCATCATTTGCACAAAAGAATTCCCTTGGCCTTACTTCTGCACTGATAAGATTTAGCAACTGTCAATAAGAATGTAAACCGAAATACACCGTTCTTGCTAAACAAAGAAAAAAAATAATATTAATCCCACGTGTTTTGTTATATTGCAATTAGAATACCATTAAATGCCAACTTCCGTATTCAGAATTAAAAAAAAATAACTGTCAATTTTGTAGGTTGGTTTTCATTCACAGATTAGGAAATTGTAGTCAGAGTTCAGGGCTTCGCAGTGTGGCAAATTTAAAGTTCAAATTTTGACCTACTCTTTTTGAGTATATTTCGCGCTAAGCCCTTGTAAAAATCATGAATGAAACTATTTTCTAACAAGCATTAGGCTAAATATTAGTGAATACTGGGAGAATATTTTTACAATGGCTGACATTGTAGAGGAAACACTAAATAAACACCACTATAAAAACAGCGTGAAATGAAACTAATTTGTTCCTAAGATGTTATACGAATTTACAGATAATAAAGAAAATGGAATCTGGGGAGAGGCATGATTTTCTTCGTTCTGAACATCACAGTTTTTGCTGAGAATTAACACTTTATTTTATATCTATTTATTAAGGAATAATTCTTGTCACGAACCATATTTTCTTGCAAACGAAGAGGAAATTAATTTTACAGAAGAAATATTGTTTTTCATAGGTTAACTTCAGTCTGGGTATGATTTTGCTGTTATTGCAAAACAGTTCAACACACGTAATTTTCACGGAAATATTTAATTAATCAAAGGCATAAGCGAAAGGAAGATGAGGATAAAATAAAGAAATGAATGAATAAGGAATGGTAAAGAAAAGAAAGAATTATGAATGGAAAATAGAAAGGAATCATGAATAGCAAAGCAAAGAAGGAATAATGAATGGCAAAGAAAAGAAGGAATAATGAATGGTAAATGAAAGAAGGGATAACGAATGGTAAAATAGAAGAAATAATAAATAGCAAAAGAAGGGATAATGAATATCAAAGAAAAGCAGGGATATTGAATGGAAAAGAAAGAATGAAAAATAGCAATGATAAAAAAAAAAAACTAATAATGAAATGTAAAGATCAGAAGAAAAATACAAAAGGGAAAAAATGAACCTCGTAAAGAATGATTAATGAATGACAATACAAATCAAAATAATTTATCACTAAAAATTAAATGATGAAGTAAGAAAGAAACGGCGAATATTAAATGAAAAAGAATGAAAGAACGGACGAAAATCAAATGAAAAAGAAAGAAAGAAACGAAGAAAATTAAATAAAAAATAAAGAAAAAAACGAAGAAAATCAAATGAAAAAGAAATAAATAAACGCTGAACATTAATTGAAAAAGATAGAAAGAAGAGACAAAATTAAATGAAAGAAAGGAAGGAAATGACGAAAGTTAAACAAGAAAGAAAGGAAGGAACAACAAAAAGCAAATGAAATAGAGAGAAAAAAAACAACGAAAATTGAATGAGTAAGGAAGAAATGACGAAAATTGAATGAAAAAGAAAGAAAGCAACAACGAAAATTAAATAAAAACAAAAGAAACGATGAAAATTACCCGAAAAAAAGGGAGAAACGACGAAAATTAAACGAAAAGACAGAAAGAAACGATGAAAATTAAGTAAAGCAGACAGAGAGTAACGACGAAATTCAAATGAAAAATATAAAGGAACGTTGAAGATAAACTGAAAAAGCAACGACGAAAATTAAATGAAAAAGAAGGCATGCAATGACGAAAGTTAAATGATAAAGAAAGATACGCTGATAAATAAACGAAGAAAAAAGAAAGAAAAGACGAAAATTAAAAGAAAAATAAGGGAGGAAACGACGAATGAGAAAGAAAAAAAGGAACGACAAACATTGAATGAAATTGAAAGAAATGACGAATATTAAAAGAAAAAACGAATGAAACGACGAAAATTAAATGAGGGAAATGAAGAAAGGGCAAAAACAAAGAAAGAAAATTAAATAAAAAAAACAACGAAAAAACGACGAAAATTAAATGAGAAAGAAAGAAAGAAACGACGTAAATTAAGTGAAAAAGAAAGAAAGAAAGAAAGAAAGAAAGAAACGACGAAAATTAAATGAAAAAGAAAGAAACGACTTAAATTAAATAAACACCGACGAAAGCAGCATAGGAATAATCAACAACTTAAACAATACGCTAACGTCCGGTGAAGTCTAGCAGGGGTTGGACGTGAGTTTTACATCTCCAAAACATTTAGAAAGTGACACTTGCTACCGAAATGCAGACAGACAGTCAACAATACGCCCCCAGCCTGGTGTTTTTACTCATCGACAACCAATATTGTAGCTGATGTAGAAGTCGGTCTAAAATGGAAAATATAAAAAAAATTGCAAGGAAACAAAAAATAAAGATGGCCGAATAAGATAACGAGAAATGGGGAAAATAAAGTCTTCAGCCAGAAACATTAATGCTAAAAAATCGATAAAATAAATGTACCGAATGTTTATAAAAGCAGATATACTGTTAATCTGCGTTTTTTTTTATATATTCCATTCCTGAGTTTCCTTGTGTGATACACGCTTGGTTGAGTTTCTCTTTTTGATTCAAATTTGACTTGGTAGAAAAATTCTCGCAATAGGCGACCGTTACTTTATGAATTAGACTGCCTTACCAACGAAGGCTAAGGGAACCCATCTGTGCTGTTATTAATCTTGATTCATACTTTTTTCAAGGTGTTTTTTGCGAAAGTAAACATACCGAACTAAAATTCGAACACAGTTCATCGATTTCCTATTCCGAGCCGTTATCCATTAGACATACTGCACATCCATCCTTAAGAGTGTAGTATTCCTAAACAGTCATCCCTATCGGTACTGACCAGGCTCGACATTACTCTGATTAACAGTCCGGACAGGCCTTACGTCTGGGATCAATGTGTGGTGGGTGTCGTCAAGAAGTCTTCCTCGGAATGGATATATTGTCTTACCTCTTAGATGCCGGGTAGGGTTTATCATCACTCATTTGTGTCTGTCTTCTGGCAATGTGTGGCTCTGTTGTGACACTGTCTACGGACAGAGACACGGCTGAGAAAGACAAAATACGGAGAGGTACCCTGTCCCGATGGAGAGATGCCCGCAGATGTAGACACTCATTGCACTAGAGAGTGGGGATCGGTAATCATACCGACGGTTGTTGATGCTTGGCGTTTTTAGCCCTGGGCCGGGAGTACGGGCCCGGGTCCTATAAATTAAAGCTGAACTTGTGACATATCACGTCTCAGTGGGAGATGCGATCCTTTTGGAAGAAAGGGAAAATGCAGATACAGTTAAATTTGGATTTCTCCAATGACCTTAAAGAAGAGTTGAAGGAGCAATTTTCACTCGTTAATATAAGGAGGTGAAACAATGAACAAGGAAACTATTTTCATTTAAATAGATTTTAAATGAAAGATGTCAAAAATGACAAGCGACATTAACTGTTCAGACAAATACTGCTACTTTTCTCTTTGTAAATAAGCAGTTGATCTCATTACCATTTTAAAATTAAATCGACCTTGTTTCAAATCCTAACACTGTGATATTGTAGGTCAAAACCGCTTTTCCTGATCATAGGACTAAGTTCAAACTGTGGAATCTCTCATTTCATGCTCTCAATTCATGAAGGATGTTTTAGTCAATTATGTGCCATGCGTGACACACGCGTAGGCGATCATTTATCTTTAGATACATGACTGACGAGGCAGTTTTTTCTCGCAGTAGGTTGCCATTTCTTTCTGCGGTAGAACATTTGCCATTCAAGTCTATAGAAACCGGTCTGTCTTGTTATTTACCCATAGCTGGGGAGGGAGAATAAAATGATTCATACCTTTCCTAAGGGTATTAGCACGTAAGTGAATATATTGCATTCGACTGGAATTCGAACTCAGCTCTCAATCCGAGCAGCTATCCATTACTCCACTGGAATTCCAACACCACGGCTGCAAATCCCTCATTGCACTGAAAAGGGAGGTTTGGTTAAAATTAAGGGCAATTACAATGCTTATTCTTATTCCATCCGTATGAAACCCCTACTTTAAAAAGGCCTCCATTTAACATCCGAATGGGGAAGGTAAATACACATTTTGAGCGAGGAAATTCTTCCATTTCTGATACGATTCAATTCTTATACATGTTGCCACTGTGATTGGGGTGTTCTGATTTTGGTTAGGGCTTGTAAAAGTCAGCTAGAAAAGTCCACTACAGGGGATTTTTAACACATTGACAGTGCTTTCCCCGTCATTCAGTTGATTGATTCCTTTTCTACGGTTTATCAACTATTTGCAGTTTATTTAAAGCCAGAAAATAATATTTTTAGACAGTAAATGTCTTTTTGGGAGGATAATGATGTACTACTGTACTGTACTGATGCGGCATTCACCCTGGGCGGATTGAGCCGGCTTCTTCCTGTTATGAGAAGAAGATTCTTGGGATAAATTACGGAAGTAGGGTACCCAGCCCTACTCTGATAACGTTCTTGCTTGCCGCGGGGTTCCCACAGACGCAGAGACAGGAACGACCAGAAGCCGCCGGTTACCGATGCAGACGCTCCTTGGATTTTCACCAGAGCCCTTGTTAGCCGGCGTGTGTGTCAGACCTGTCCGCCTTGGGTGGCCCTACCAGGAACGAAGTTCCGGGCGGCATAGCTCTGACACTACCGTTTACCCCCCCCCCAACCGACTGTGAGGTAACGGTTGGATTTTGGGGGCTTACAGTACCAGGTGTTCCCAAGCGGTTCCCCATCTAAGTACTGACCTGGCTCTACGATGCTTAACTTCGGTGATCGAACGAGAACCGGTGTTTCAGCGGGATTTAACAGTAAGCACGGATAATGATGTCTTACAGATCAAAGCCTTCTTAATTAACACAAAGCAGAGGATGGATGAGATGAATTCATACCGTTTCCCAAGAGTATTTTCGCGTAAGCGAATATAATGAATCCAACTGGAATTAAAACTCGGATCTTGGATTAACAATTTCCAGACATTAGAAAATTATACCAGCCTCACATCCACGCTTACAGCACCTGGTATTCTTAAGCGTTCACCCATCTAGGTATTGATCGAGATCGACGTTGCTTAACTTCGGTGAGTGTACTGCAACTGGTGTGCAAGGTGAGGTACCCTTGAGACTCAACATTAAAATATTGGCGCGCAAGTCAATATAACAAACCCAGCAGGAAATGAAACTCGGCTCTCCGATTAACAATTTCTAGACATAGGAAATAACACCACCTGCACGTCCAAGCTTATAGAACCCGATATTCCCAACGTTCACCCATCGAGGTACTGACCGGGATCGACATTGCTTACTATAACTGGAATTTCAATGTGATGTGTTTCTAAGACACTGCATTAAAATATTGGCGCGTAAGTGAATATAAGGAATACAAAGAGAATTAGATCTCGGTTTTGCGATTAACCATTTGCAGATATTAGGAAATTACACCACCTGCACATCCATGCTTGCAGCAAATGGTATTTTCAAGCGTTCAACGATGTAGATACTGACCGAGATCGACGTTGCTTAACTTCGGTGTACGTATGGTAACCGGTTTTTCAACGTGATGTCGCTCCTAGCCCTTCCTTATGAGATAGAAAGCCGTAATAATGTGACGCCTACGTGGGAATTCATTTTCGAGCCTAATTTTGGGTCATACCCATTAATATTCAATGAATGGACCCGATCTACTGTCAGCAGAAGTTATCTACCAAAGGGAGATTTTTTTAGAATACTTAATGTAAAAATAAGATATCGATGAACGAGAGGCTATCTTACACAAAATTCCTTCATTTTTATAGTAATTTTTCACATATGAAATAAATCCATGTTTGCATAACATTTACATAAAAATGAACGTGAAGCAAATATTGGAAGGGAAAATAAAAACGGGATACAAAGATAAAGACAAAAGCTAAGAGAAGAACTGAGACGTGAGATAATGGATAGTTTCATTGTCAACACCATTGGAATGTTCTTTCTTCCCTCCGGTAATATGTGAGAAAAAGAAAAACAATATTAACGAAAGAAAATTAACATGTGAAACACTAAAATACAGAGAGAAATAAATAGAAAATATATGCAGAAAAAGAAAACAATGAAAGAGTGGCTACTGATAAAGACGGACAAGAAAATAATTATGGTAGAAAAGAAAATAGAAAATAACGTGAACAAAAATGGATGCAGGAAAAAATGAATATTAAACCAGATTATTATATAGGAATACAGTACCGCTGGCGACGCTGGAATTTGAACATAGATCGCCAGTGAGCAAACACAGGCGATCTTGTGAATTAAGTAGACCACGAGACCATATAGGAAACACATAAGTAGATAGTCTTTTGATGTCTAAATTACCTCCATTTCTAGTCTATCCTCTAAAACTATACGGATCGCTATTTCTAATCTATCCTTTATTACTATACGGACCGCTATTCCCTATACAATTCACTATACTATCTCTCTATTCGTATCACTATACGGATTAATATTAGAGCGAATATTATCGAGCAAGTACTATTAGTGCGATTGTTAATCGAAGGCGTCTGACACCAGTGTTGTTGAACGGCGATACTATAGTTGTCTCTGCGATTACAAAGTCTCTACTACAACGAGCATTACGAAAGTGACAACGAGTATTCGCTGGTATTACAAAAGCGGCAAAGAGTGTTCATTGACATCCCAAAACTGATAATAAATTTTAAAAAATGATTGAATACAGAATATATTTCTGATATGTGTTATTGTAACTATATACCGTATTTACTTTGTTCGGATTGTTGTCCACATTATTATTGTCATATTCACAACGTTTCGGCCGTTGTACGCTCCGTCCTTCGTCAGGTAATTGGAATTAAAAACGTAGTCCCTTATTTCTTCCATAGGGGTAGATACTTCGAGTTCTACGTATCATGCATCTTCTGGATGTCCAAGGTTCAGTTATTTTCCTTTCAGTTCTGCAGTCCCAGTGGATAAAAGCGTTGGTTGAAATAATCCAGTGACTTGACACAAAAAACGACGGTGATTTCAATACCTAGCCACAGCAGAGGAGAACAGAAACTTGTAGGGTTGAGTCACAAAAATGGAAATAGCTGAAACTGATATATCTGGAAGAGGTATGGCATGTGGAACTAGAACAATCTACCCTGGTGGACGAAATAAATTGTTTGGATACAAAAGAATGCTGGAGTGCACAACGGCCGAAACGTTGTGAATATGACAACAAAGATGATGACAACAGTCCGACCAATGTAAATAGCGTAAATAGAGAGAGCGATGGATGAACTGGCGTCTAAATTACGAAAAATGGAAATAGCAATGTCATTTTATTTTAACAGATATATTTACCTATATTACATAAAAATAACATGAAATACTGTGTAAATTTAATTAAAGGAAATTGTCATTGGCTTCTGCCACGGTCTAAGATATTTTCGGAAGCTCCTGTTTCTCATCTGGATTTATATAAAATCCATATATATATATATATATATATATATGTATATATATATATATATATATATATATGTGTGTGTGTGTGTACATATATATATGTATGTGTACATATATATATATATATATGTATATATATATATATATATATATATATAAATATATATATATATATATATATTTAATCTATATATATATATATATATATATATATATATATATATATATATATATATTTAAGTTATACAATATTTATAGGGTAAAAGTCATCAAAACACTGAAGTCAACACTGTGACAGACATTTTCATGCTAACAGGTGATCGAATTTAGTATGGAATAGCTTGTCTTCTCTGTGTGTTGACTTCAATGTTCACTTTTATGTGATATATATATATATATATATATATATATATATATATATATATATATGTGTGTGTGTGTGTGTGTTTCTGTTTGTGCGCGCAATCTCACATGCTCGTTTGAGTTTTGTGTGTGTGAGCGTGTAAAATGTTAACTCCGAAATTTCTTTAAAATTTCAGATATGAAAAATAAAACAGTCCCATTGAATTAAGGGGATCACACAAACAGACATTAACAAAGCAAAAATGTCTTCATTTTTCTTTGAATTTTAGATACTATTCATCGCATATAATCAAATTATCTGTCTTCGAATATCGGTAAGACAAGAAAAAAAACTCTCCTTACAAAAAAAATAAAAAATAAAATAAAATCGAAAAAATGATTGAAAACACTTCTTGTAATAAAAAAAAAGGAAGAAGATATTGTCAATGCGATACTGCTCGCCTACGTAAGAACATTACCAAATATGGCGCCAAAAAAAAAAAACATGGAATATAAAAGTCATATTTAGATCGTTAAATTAGTTTTTGTGCTAGTCTGTATAGCTTCAGTTGTTTAGCTGCTACCGAGGGACAAACATTCGAAGGTGAAAAGAATGCGCGTCCATCTTTTGCGGGGGCATTAATTTCAGATCAGCGATGATGGCCATAAGCGGATAGTATTTGCGATTAAAAACAACTAAAATTGAAATGAACGTGGTACTACTCTATATTAATTAATGAGAATGAAAGTGAAGAAAATATATTTTAGATAAATAGAAATGAATAGATTAGGAAAATAATAATGCAACAGTAGGATATTTGAAAGAAACTGCAATTGAAAAAAAGAATTAGAAAGACAAGGAAAGAACAGAATGAAAACAAAAAACAATAGAAGAGAGAAAAAAACCCTCTGTGATTTTTTTCATATATATATATATATATATATATATCTTACTTATTATAAAACGCAGATTGTGTGTGTGTGTCTGTACGTTTATATATTGCATCGGATTTCCTACATTTTTCAACCGATTTCAACAAAACTTCACAGGACTACGTAAAATTACCATGCGGTGGTTCTGACATCGCCAAAAATGGGAAAAACAAAATTGTTTTTGCACGAAATCAATTAAAAAACACGATAAAACACGATTATGTCGCCAGAATGAAAGAGGAACAACTCATATCGAGTTATACTTATAAAAACCCAGGTTGTTTGTGTGTGTGTGTTCGTTTATATATGGGATCGGATTTCCTACATTTTTCAACCGATTTCAACAAAACTTCAGTTTTTTTTGGCATGTAGTGTTTCTT